ATTTAGAATATAGAAATTAATTAATACAAAATTGTAAAGTAAGTATTGTATGTAAATTGTATTCCTTTATATAGTGCAATTTAATTTCTTATATATTAAGCCCTTAGGCAGGAAAAATAATAAACAGGGCATGTTACCGTAACGCGGCCGTGGAGCGAATGAGGCTACGCGCGCCGCGCCACGACGTTTTATATTTATAGTACTGAGGCGGGGGGTAGGGTCCTCAGCTCAAAGTTGCTGGAAAAACAACGTTTAAACCTTTAGTATATAGAAAAATTGTTATGTACGTATTAGTTTAATAAGTAGTTGTAAGAATGTTATATATTTAAGTCTGTTCGTTAGTTTGTAAGAAATCTAACCAATAAAGAAAGGCGCAGGGGTGAGGCAAGGGTCCGCTGGCCAGCAACGGCCAAATCATATATAAGACGGGCCGGCCGGAACGGTCGGCAGTCGCTCTCCAGCCACAGAAAAGAAAACAGCAGCAAGAAAAGAAAAAGTTCCTCCTCACCGCCGCTTGCCTCCAGTTTAAGCAAGACCAACGCGTTTCATTCATTTTTCGAACGGCGTTACGGCGATCCGTAACATTAATGGTCCTTCGAGAAGCCGGATTACTAGAAGAAAAAGACAATATCGGTCTTGGTATTGCCGCAAGAAAGAAGCAAACCGCAAGAACGAAAAAATATTATTGTGAAGAAAAATGGTGATTACACGTAATAACAACGGAGAATCATCGAAGCGTCGCAAGGATGAACAGATAACCCAGGGGGCCACAGAAGAGGCCTCCGGGGGCGACTCAACCGCTAGTGGTACATCCAACACCACGAGCGAAACCACAACGGTCAGCGATACAACCGCTACCTCTGCGACCGATAACACGGCGGCAACGGAAGAAACCCAGCAAGAAAAGGATTGAAGATCGCAGCGCACATTAAAGCCCGACGAAGCTAGGTCGCGCCGCTCCGTAGCCTCACGCAAGAGACTCCTCGCGGAGTTAGAGGCGAAAGAAAGAAAGGTTTATTCTCCAAAATGACGCCATCACAGATTACATAAAAAAGAAACACATAATTTACAAATAATATTGGCTATACAATACAAATTACAATATACTACATATTACAAACCATACAATACCAATACTCATATGTGTCAAGGCGTCATCTGGGAACAGGAGCACACTCAGCATAATGCCATGAATTTTTTTTTTCTCTCCATGGCGCTGATTTTCAGTGTGTCCACCCAGTGACTTACCGAAATCAGTGCTATACGTATACTCATGACAGAATTATGCACAACAAGGGGGAAAGAAACAGTAACTATCTTAAGTGAGAGGGAGAGAGTAGAGTTCAAGGTCGAATGCCACTTCGACACAGCACGTCCCGTTTATGTTGCTTTCAGACGCTCTTAGAAGGGCTATACGAACACTACAAAAGGGGAGATTATTAAAATACTATAAAGGGCTATATACTACAAAAGGGAAATTATTAAAATACTATAAAGTGCTATATAATAAAATGACCAGATAATTTGTAAAAAAAAGAAAAAAAAATGTAATTATTGAAGAATATAAAAGTATATAAGAAGACAAAAGCCGCATTCAAATGGACGATTTTAATGCTCCGTTGTTAATAATCTATGACGATGAGGTACGTAATCGTGCAAAGCGTTATAAACTTTGATCAAAGTTAATCTGACTTTGCAGTAATTGTGTTCTATATTTATTTTTAAATGTGTGTACTGCTTTCAGATTTCGCAAAGGAGGCGGTATATCGTTCCAGCACTTGGATGCGGCGTATTTGAAACTTCCTCGGAAAGCGTGAGTGCGGTGACGAGGCACGACGAGAGTATTCCCTCTAGTGCGTGTATTGTAAGTTTTTACATCACGTGACCATATGAGTTTGTCAGCAAGATAAGGAGGTGTTTTATTTTTTAATACCCCAAATAGGAGAGTTGCCATGTGCAGTTTTCTGCGATATTACATTTTTAACATTTTGGCATTGTTAATGTAAGGGGTAACGTGCGTGCGGGGCGGTATTGTAAAACTAAATCTTGCACATGCATTTTGAACACGTTGCACTAGACGTCGCGACCGCGCTAAAAGTCTCGGGCCATATACAATGTCCATATAATTAAATTTCGAAAGGACAAGAGTGTCACACAATTTTACCCGAATATCCGAATTTAAAAACTCCCTTATTTGATAAAGAACCTTAAGTCTATAAAAGCAGTTTCTGCTAGTACTTAGTATGTGGTTCTCAAACTGTAGTTTGTCATCCATTAGTAAGCCCAGATTGCGAATCTCATTTACACGTTCTACGATTTCCCCTCGAATTTGGATGCATGCCCCTCTTTCTGATATATTTTTTATTTGATTTTTAGAACCCATAATTAGTAGTTTAGATTTAGTTCCGTTTAGTACAAGGCAGTTTGAGTCGCACCACGCGGCTATACTTTCGAGGTCTTCGTTGATTTTATTAACGACTTCTTGAGTATCACGCGGATTACATGACATGTAGACTTGCAGATCATCTGCGTATAAATGAAATTTACAGTGCTTAATGTTTTTTACTAAGTCGGCACTGTAAACTGAAAACAATATTGGAGCCAGGTTCGATCCCTGGGGCGCACCGGCTTTGATTTTTTTTGATTGCGAACGTATTAATGTTCCTCGGTCATCGCTCAGTTCTACAGTTTGTAGTCGGTTTTTAAAATAACTATCGAACCATTGTACTGCGCTGCTACTGAATCCATAGTAATGAAGCTTTGATAAGAGAAGGGAAACATTTATACAGTCAAATGCACGAGAAAAATCTAGTAATACTAGTATTGTGCCTTTTCCTTCATCTTGAGCGGTTAGTACATCGTCAGTAAGTTGGGCTAGGGCCGTCGTGGTGCTATGGTTCTTACGAAATCCCGACTGCATTTCCGGTAGAATTTTTTTATCTAAATACATGGTTAGCTGTTCTGCGACAATTTTTTCAATAATTTTAGAGACACAGGGGAGAATACTGATGGGCCGAAGGTCTTTTTCAGACAAAGGATTTGAGTTCTTAGGTATGGGTTTGACTAACGCATGTTGCCATAATGTCGGATAGGTGTTAAGAGTTAATGGATTTGTTCACCATAGCAGTAATAGTTGGTAGTATTCGGAAGGGTCATACGGAGCATATCGAGAGAAATCCCATCAATGCCTATGGCTTTAGATTTTAAACTTTTAATGAATTTTAGTACCTCTAGTTCATTTACCTCCTTTATCTCAAATATGTCATTAACGCAGCAGTGGAACTCAAAGTACGTTAAATATGACAACGAGACGTTTCTATTTGCAGGCACGTTTAAAAAATAGTCGTTTATTTTATTTGGATCATTAAACAAGTCTATCGGGATATTGTGTTTTGGTTTTGTCTTAACATTGGACTTTATATGTTTCCACATTGAAATGGGATTATTTATATTACGATTAACATAAAAATTATAGTAGGCTTGTTTTTCTCTATATATTGCTTTATTGACGCAGATTTTTAGATCTTTATAGTATTTAATATGTATGTCGTTTTTACTTTTTCTCATTTTAATGTATAAAGAGCGGTTAGCCGAACTCAAGCTCGAGCAGGCTCAGTTGCAAGCAAGAACGGAATTGCAAGAAATACTCGTGCAGCGATTACAAGCAGAAGTCGGATCAACCGATGACGAAGATGAAGAAATAGAAGACGATTTAGCATCAGTGCGCATTAGTACATGGTTGAAAGAAAAACCTACATCGCAACCAGCGCCGTAGCCCGCGCCGCAACCCACGTCGCACTTCGCATCGCAACCCACGTCACACTTCGCATCGCAACCCGCGCCGCAGCCCGCGCCGCAACCCACGTCGCACTTCGCATCGCAACCCGCTCCGCAGTTTGCATCACAACCCGCGCCGCAGAAAGAAGACAATGGGCAGACGCAGCAACAAATCGACGTCGCTACCTTAGCCGCTGCTCTATCACAAGCAGTACGAAGCACAAGGGAGCCACCGAAATATGTGCAAGAGTACCTACATTCAATGGTAGCAGCAAAGAATGGCTCAGCTTCAAAACAGCGTACGAAGAATCTTCAAAGTACTTCACGATGAACGAAAACATAGCGAGAATACGCCGAAGCTTAAAAGGGACAGCAAAAGAAGCCGCAGGTTGCCTACTTATAAGCCAACCAGATCCCAGAATGATAATGGAAGCTTTGGAAAGGAGATTCGGACGACCAGAAGCGTAAATTCACTTAGAAATAGAGAAGCTGAAGCTGCTGAACAAAGTTACGGACAATCCCAGGGAGCTATGCATATTCGCAAATCGCATAGCAAACGTAGTGGGCACCGTGGAAGCACTCAAGAAAGCACACTATCTGCATAGTCCGGAAATGACGCGAGTTATCACAGACAAACTCACGCCCATATTGAGAAGCAAATGGTACGACTATGCAGCCGGAAAGAAGGAAGATATCCCAGAGCTTAAGAAGATATCAATGTTCTTAAACGAAGAAGCGGATAAATGCAGCGCGTATGCCTTGCCGGAGTTCATGCCTCCTGGGCATTGGCGGAAATTTTGCGACCTGTCCAACCAATCGCCCCAAGCGTAGAGCATTGTACTTGTGGTCGGCAGAAATAGCACGACTCCGTGCGCTCTGCTTGCGGAGTGGGCGCCAGTACACCAGATCTCGAAGGAGAAGAAGGCGAGCTCCACCTGAGGAGGTAGCCAGACTCTACGGGGCATACCGAGTGGCTACAAAGGCGCTTCAAATTGCTATAGCCAACGCCAGGTCTCGGTCCTGGAAAGAGCTTCTGGAGGGACTCAACGAGGATGCCTGGGGGCGTCCATACAGGATGGTACTGGGTAAGCTCCGGCCTTGGTCGCCCCCCTTGACGGAGACTCGATCCGGATCTGCTGGGAAGGGTGATCAGCACGCTCTTTCCAGAAGACCGGTCAAGTCCCTCAGATCACCTACCGTCTTCATGGGAGTGGCAGGATGAGATGGGGGTGACCGTCGAAGAACTGGACCGAGCCGTTAGCCGCTTAAAAGCCCGGAACACAGCACCGGGGCCCGATGGAATCCCGGGTTGGGTCTTAGTGCTGAGTCTGGCTGCCCTGGGGGACAGGCTCAGGCAGCTGTTTACCAGGTGTCTGCGCTGTGCCACGTTCCCCACAGCCTGGAAAGAAGCAAGGCTGGTCCTCTTGAAGAAGGAGGGCAGGGCCGCTGATTCTCCCTCTGCGTACCGCCCCATATGCCTGTTGGACGAGATTGGAAAATTATTCGAGAGGATAGTTGCCGGTCGGCTCAATAGGCATCTGTCGCGCGTCGGTCCCGATTTGGCCGATAGCCAGTTTGGGTTCCGACGGGAGCGTTCCACTATAGATGCGATTATGCGCGTCCGCTCCCTATCGGAACAAGCAATATCCCAGGGTGGCGTGGCGTTGGCGGTAAGCCTAGATATCGTAAACGCCTTTAACTCCCTACCCTGGGATGCAATCAAGAGGGCACTGGCACATCATCAGGTGCCCCCTTACCTGCAAGGTATTATCGGGGACTACTTGCGCGACAGGTACATTCTGTACATGGGGCAAGATGGCAGAAAGATCCGGAGGGAGATCAAACGTGGGGTTCCACAGGGCTCGGTGATGGGGCCGCTACTATGGAATCTCGCCTATGATGCGGTTCTGCGAATCGATCTTCCCGCTGGTGTAGATCGTCTGCTATGCTGACGACACATTAGTGATCGCCAGCGGGATCACTTTCGAGAGGGCCAAGGAGCTCGCCGAACTCGGGGCGGAAGTCGTCGTTGCCAAAATACACGAGTTGGGATTAGAAATAGCGCCTCACAAGACCGAGTCCCTATGGTTCCATAAATTACCAAGGAGCAGGGAACTCCCGACTCGTGTATCCGCGTGGGTGGGTCTGAAGTCAGAGTGGGGAGGTATATGAAGTACCTAGGCCTCCACCTGGACAGTCGCTGGGGCTTCGAAGAACATTTCGAGCGCCTAGTCCCCCGGATCGAAAGGGTAGCGGGTGCTATGCATAGACTGCTGCCCAATCTAGGGGGACCGACAGAGGAAGTACGTCGCCTATATGCGGGAGTTATACGACCCGTAGCTCTATATGGAGCGCCTATATGGTCAAAAAGGCTGGCCATCCGGCGCTGTAGAACTAAAATCTACAGTGTTGAGCGGAGGATGGCCATACGGATCGTACGAGGATACCGCACAATATCCTTTGAGGCGGCGACAATCCTGGCTCGCTTTCCACCACTACATATACTGGCGGAAATGGACGCGAGGGTGTACGTTCGAATCCGTGCCCTTCGCCAGAGTGGTGGTAGTGAGCCAGAAGAGGCGCTCGAATCAATTAAACGGCAGGAGCGACAAAACGCTCTGGCGTCACGGCGCTCTCGACTCAAAGAGCGCTATGAACGCAGACGCGTCATTGAAGCAATCCTGCCGGTCTTCGAATCCTGGATGCAGCGACGAGCAGGAAGACTCACCTACAGATTTACTCAGATAATTACCGGGCACGGGTGCTTCGGTGATTATCTGTGTAGGATTGGACGTGAGACAACGGCGGACTGCTTCCACTGTGGTGGACGGGACCAGGACTCCGCTTCCCACACACTCGCAGTATGCCCAGCGTGGGAACGGACAATCCTGGTAAACCGCATCGGATGGGACCTCTCCCTGCCAGCAGTTGTGTCGGCGATGCTGAGCGGGGATACGGCGTGAAGGGCCGTAGCCACCTTCTGTGAATCTGTTATGATTCAGAAGGAGGCTTCTGAGCGGGATCGGGAGAGGGCGGATCCCGCGCGGAGACGACGTCACCAAGGCGTTCGTCACGGCCCTCTTGAAAACGGTGTTCCCCTACCAGAAACGGGGCCTCCGTGGTTGCAGACGCTCGGGGCGGGAGCCTCGAGCGCCTAGTTATGTAACCCCCGAGGAGGACGATGTTTCGGAAGTGGCGACTGGGCGCTCGCGGCCGGCCCGCTGCTGCGCCAGCACCGCTCCCACCCCGCGCGAGCTGGTGTCGCACGTCACCACCACTGGCAGCCGCGTGTCATAATGATCTAACACCTCAGCTTTACTTAATAATAATTTCACATTCTGAAACGCTTGCTTTTGCTCTTTCCCCCAAAACCAATGCCTACCTTTTTTTAAAAGTGTGTAAAATGGATTCAGGTAAAAACTTAAATTCTTTATAAATCTACAATAAAAATTAACCATTCCTAAAAATGACCGCAATTCGGATGCGTCATTAGGTTCACATACATACATACATAATACATATACATACATAAACACTCACGCCTGTCACCCAGAGGGGTAGGCAGAGACTACGGACTTCCATTTGGCGCGATCCTGACACACCTCTCTCGCCTCTTTTACATCCATACATCTACGCATACACGCTCGTCGGTTAAGGGTACTCTTAATCTGGCCCATTTTTAATGTATCGCCGATTTGGTCGATAAACCTTCGTCTAGGGCGTCCCTTCCCGACCCTGCCGTTCACTTCTGCAACATAAATATGCTTTGTCACTCTTTCCTCGTTCATTCTTTCTACGTGACCAAACCACCGAAGCATTCCTTTCTTAATCCTTGTCACAACGTCATCTTGCAAACCACACTTTTCTCTTATTACACTATTTCTCACCCTGTCATTCAGATTCAGCCCTAGCATACTCCTTAAGGAACGCATTTCTACAGCATTTATTCTACTCTCATGCTTCTTCTGCCAGACCCAACTTTCACTACCATACATTAAAGTAGGTACTAACACAGCATTATGAATTGCCATACGTGCCTTAGTTGACACATTCTGACTCCTCACAATAGCGTGTAGAGCCCCATTCACTCTATTTCCTGCGTTCACTCGTCGTTCTATATCCTTATCATATCTACCATCCCTGCTAAATAAACATCCCAGATATACAAACTCATCCACTTGCTCAATCAACTCCCCTTGTATTCTTATTTCACATAATGTTGTACTTTCTTCTCTTTCAAAAACCATCACTTTCGTCTTACTTGCGTTCACTTTCATACCCCTTTCTTTCAATGACCAATTCATTAAAGTAACCATCATTTGCAACTCGGCCGCCGACGATGCAAATATGACTTGATCATCGGCGTACAAAAGGCATTTGACGGTTGACTCACCCATTCTCAACCCACATTCTTCAACTTTCAAAGTTTGCAAACAACTGTCCATAAATAGGTTAAACAGCCACGGGGAAGCCACACATCCCTGTCTGACACCTTTATGAATGCCAAACCAGTCCGAGTAGACCCCGTTGATCCTGACAGAAGCACTAGAGTCCCTATAAAGAGACCTTAATGCCTGTATCAAGCCAGCGCTCAACCCAAATGAGTTCAGTGTTTGCCATAACACGTTCCTGTCCACTCTGTCATAAGCCTTTTCCAAGTCCAAGAACGCACAAAAAACTTTCTGGTTTTTAGCCAAAAACTTCTCCGCTATCATGCGCATGGAAAAGACTTGATCTGTACACCCCATCCCCTTTCTAAATCCAGCTTGCACATCCCAAATTTTTCCATCAGTTTCTTCCATAACTCTTTCAATTAACACCTTAGCATACAGTTTACCCACAATGCTAAGCAAGCTGATACCACGGTAGTTTTTACAGTCCTGCTGCGACCCCTTTCCCTTATATATTGGGACTATAACGGCTTTGCACCAGTCTTCCGGTACCCGTTTCAGTTCCCAACATAAATTAAACAAGGTGTGCAGCAGGCCTGCAACCACACCCTCACCAGCCCTTAGCATTTCGAGTGATACTCTATCATATCCGGCTGCCTTACCTGCTTTCATGCTTTTCATTGCTTTCATTATTTCATCTACACTTATCTCCCTACCTCTCTCCACTTCTTCCGGAATTTCTATTTCACTTATTTCAGACGACTCTTCACTCTTAAACAACACGCTTTCAAAGTATTCCTTCCATCTCTTTAAATTCGAAACTTCATCATTCAGCATGCAGCCATTCTCGTCTCGTATAGCATTAATTCTAGGCTGTTTTGAATTTCCCCTGACAGTTCTTACGAGCTTCCAGAACATTTTAATATTTTCCTGGAAGTTATCAGATATCCTTCTATCATTTTTATCTATCCTTTCTTGCTTTTTCCTTTCAACAACTCCTTTTACTCTCTTATTTATACGTCTAAAGTTTGCCTTTTTTCTTTCAATCTCATCATTCATACCGCCAGAATTACCAGCTTTAGTTGCTAGTAAATCTAGCCATGCTCTCTTCTTTGCTTCAACTTCCATCCGTACCTCATCATCCCACCACAACGTATTACTTTTCCTTTCATTCGTTCTCTTACTTACACCGCATACTTCGGTGGCTGCATCCACCAAAACTTTCTTAATATTATTCCATACATTTTTCAATTCTAAATCATTCATACATAATTCATTCAACCCACTTATATTTTCCCTCAGTCTGCATTTATACTTCTCTTTCACACCTTTATCTTGTAACCTCTCTATTCTTATACGCTGTAACGCAGTGGTAGACACCGATGTCCGATGCCGCCAACGTCTGAATAGACCATTAATTCGGCATAAGACCAAGTAATGATCCGTCCCTACGTTGGACCCCCGGTAAACCCTTGTATCTACTACTGCGCTCCTCATTCTTTCATCCACAATTATAAAATCTATCATGCTTCTATCATCCCCTCTTTCCCATGTATACATGTGAATCCTCTTATGGCGAAAGAAAGTGTTCGCCACAAAAAGATTCTTTTCCACACATACGGTGAGGAGGTCTTCACCATTCTCATTTATTCTTTCATCGCCAAACGTTCCTAATATCCTTTCATAACCAGACCTCTTCACCCCCACCCTTCCATTAAAATCTCCTAACATAATAATATTTTCATTTTCCTTACATTTCATCAACACCAGCCTTACCATGTCCCAAAACTGCTCTCGGATATAAGTGGGCTTAGACATACGAGTATCTTATATCTCATTAGGTTCACGTAAATTTAAAATGGCTTTTATCTTTTCGTTATCAACTTTTATACCGTCTTTGTTTACAATGTAACCGAGATATTACTTACTACTACTACTTAATACTACTACTTCGTTCGCAAAAAATACGCATTTTTGTTTCTTAATTTTAAACCCGTTTTGGCTTAACCTTAACAGTACCTTAGCCAATGTATCTAGGTGATCTTTTTCAGATACACTATAAATCAAAATATCGTCTAAGAACACCACTGTGTTAGATATATCCTTCAAAAGATTTATCATGATTCTTTGAAAAATACCGGGACTGGAAGCCAAACCGTAAACTAGACGATTGTACATATAAAGCCCCTATGTGTATTTATTACAGTGTACTTTTTTGACTCATCTAATTCTATTTGTTTGTAGGCCTGGGACAAGTCTAACTTACTGAACCAATTACAATCGCTAAGATTCGATAGTAAATCTTCAATTTTGGGAACCGGAAATTTATCCACCAGTAAGACACGGTTTAATGTTACCTTATAGTCTGCGCAAATACGAAGCGACCCGTCCGGTTTATTTACTAATACCAAAGGTGAGGCCCAATCGGAGGCGTCAACCGGCTCGATGACTCCGGCCTGCAGCATGGCGTCCAGCTCGACATCGACCCGCTCGCGCATCGCGTACGGCACCGGGCCGCGCGCGACAGAACACCGGCGCAGCGCCGGCCCGGACGCGCAGCG